ATTATATTATATTATATTATATTATATTATTTACAAATTCACTGAAATGTGAAAAGTAAATACTAAATAATCATTATCATTAATAATAATAATAATAATTGTTTCGCCCTACATATATTATATTCACTGAAATGTGAAAAGTAAATACTAAATAAATCATTGTTTCGCCCTACATATATTATATTATATTATTTAAAAATTAACTGAAATGTGAAAAGTAAATACTAAATAATCATTATCATTAATAATAATAATAATAATCATTATTTCGCCCTACATATATTATATTATATTATATTATATTGTATTATTGAATAATTATTTAGTAATTTATTTTTTTTTTATAAAAATGCATCATATTACAGTGGTTCTGTCTATGATGTTGCTGTGTGCCACGCCCACATTGAGCTGCTGGTCTTCTGATTGGTTTAAATCCCAGAAGGGGCGTGTCTGCAACCAACGTTGATCATTGGAATCGGCTCCAATGACGCCAGTCTGGAAACTGTTGCTGTCGTCGCGTGCGGGTTGACGCGCAGCGGTGCGTTTCTTGGGCGCGTTTGGGGATGTGAGTGAATGACCCGCGTCCAGATCAGCGGAACGCGTGAGTACACGGCTCGTTTTGTGATCCGCTCCCGCGACGCCGCTGAGTTTCGGCCGTGTGGTGCGTGACTTGACTGCAGCGCTTTGCTGCAGTGTTGTGGTGTTTGTGTGCTTTATAATTACAGTGTGTCAGGCTGCTGTGCGCTGGCTGCGCGGTTGACCACCGGAACGCGTGAGTACTCGGCTCATTTTCTGACGCGTGCGTGATTTGAGCGCAGCGCTCTGACATGCTGTTATACTGCGGTGTTGTGGTATTTGTGTGTTGTTATAATTACAGTGTGTCAGGGCTGCTGTGCTGGAAGTGCGGTTCAGCTCCGTGTTTCTATGTGCGTGTGACTCCCACGCAGCGCGGAGCAGCTTCACTGCGACGCAGAAGCACAGAAACACACGCAGACACCGAGCCGTGAAGCGAGATGCGCTCCTGTCTGTCAGTGAACACAGAAGCATCACACCAGTCTACTGGTTTATTTCTAGTACTTCTTTCTCAGATCAGGGATTGTTTGCAGGGTGTTTCTTCAGTTAATGCTGCTTAAGTACTCTTAACCCTCAAGCATCCTTCGGAAAGCAGCCCTTAACTGGTCCTTCGTGGATACATTTGGCTAGGAAGGTCTCAGGTGTGATCCCATTTTTTTTTCTTTTAATTAAATGTCATATTACTATCTTTGATAAAAAAAGAAAAACGATCAATTTATGCATTATTTTGGTGTTTGTTTGATTTATTTACCTCTAAATGTACCTTTTTTTTTTCAATGTAAGATATGCTTGTTTTTGCTATATTTAATATTTCTTTTACTTCACTAAAAAAATAATTCCAGTAAGTTCAGACAGCCAAAACCTAAAACTTTGGTTGCATCAAAAATATCAATAGCCACTATTTGGCTGCATGTATAAATATAATGGTTGAAATATAAGCCAATTGTGGTAACGAACTTAACCTCTTAAGTTTTAGATTTAGTCACAAGTTAAAATTGTAGAATTAAAAAAAACAAACACATTTGTGTTGGGTGAGAGTAAACAAAGATGCCAAAATATGCTTACAGACAAATCTGACCATGCTATAAGGAAAAGACAAAGTAGGAGACAGAGTAATCATTTATTTTTAACAAAAAACATCACATTTCAATAACTCAAAGTAAAATGGTACCAAACTGCTAAGAATAAACAATAAACCATAGCAACTGGCATGTTTCAGACATGTTTTGTTTGGAATCATCAACAAATCTTGCAGTAGGACTTTGATCTGACTTTGAAGTGTGAGTTTGTGTGTTTGTGTGTTTGTGTTTGTGTGTGTGTTTGTGTGTGTGTTTGTGTGTTTGTGTGTGTGTGTGTGTGTGTGTGTGTGTGTGTGTGTGTGTGTGTGAGAGAGGGT